CCGCCTGAGCGGTGTCAGCGGGGAGCAGCCCTCCCGCGCCCCGGCGGCAGCCGGCCTGGGGAGTTCCGTGCTGCAGCGCTGCGATAAGGCCTTCGGTTAAGCAACGGGTCGCTGCTTCGGCATTTTTCTCTTTTTTTTTTTTGTTTTTCATTAATCTTTTGCTGCTGTCACCCTGGGTGGTGTGAGGGGACGACCGGTGTCGTGTCGGGATTAAGGGTGGTATTACATGGTGCTAAATTCTGGAAAATCAGCTCGCACTGGAATATCCTTTGGGAAGCGTAATGTGAGACTAGAGTTTATCTCAACGGGAGTGATTTTCAGCAGCAGTTGTCCAGTGTGTGTCACCCTGCAGTGCTAATACATGGGCTTAATTAGATGACTGATTAGAAACCTACAGTTTTTTTCCAGCCTAAACTTGAAATATTTCTTTTAAGGGCTTGAGCTCAGTTTAAAAAAAAAGTAATTATTTTCAACACAGTAGAAAGGTGATGTTATGCAAACCACTTACTGGAAGTTGAATTGAAGAGAGGCTGTTACTTTTTCACTAATTTTGTCCTTTTCATAATGTTCTTATGGGTAGTCAGAGTTGAGGAACCATGTGCTGCTTTTAGTGAAAGGCAGACCACCCCCAAATTGTGCTGAAAATCTCTACTGCTGCCACATATGCATCAAAGTTTTGAATGATTGTGCCCTCAGCAACAGCTTGATGAGTTGGCGGTGATTTATTGCCTTCAAGAGGTAGTTAACTCATTGCAGTTGACTTTACATTTACATCTCTGACGTCACCTGTGCTGAAAGGTTTAAACCAGTACTTTCAGCTCCAGCCTGTCTGGCCTCACGTAAACCCACCAGGAAAATAAACTTGAAAACAAGTAATATTCTCAATTAACCTCAGAATTATCTCTTTAAAAACGTTATGTTTTTTTGGTCTAAGACTTAAAAGGGATATATAAAAGAACAAGTGGGACTAAAACACATACGGAGTAATAAGATGACTTACGCATCATCTTTCCTTAAAACAAATTTTTAGCTGTATTTTTGTGCATTTGTTGTAACAAGATTGTGTGTTGTGCTGGGCATTTTGTTTGCTGTTGCTGGTTGGTGCAAACTCGAAAGTATTCAGGGTGCATGGATCAGTCCAGTTGAGCAAGTGTTACACGGGACGGCGAGGAGACTTCTGTTGTGTCCCAGTCTCCCTGACACTTGTGCAATAGACTCTTCCAAAACGTTTTGAAGCTTGGCCCCAAAAAGGTCAGTCTTTCTTTCCTCAAGTATCAAAAGTTAATAAGGTGTAAAGGAGCCTCCTGTTATTTCTTAACACACTAATCTGAACTCCCTGGAGAGATGGCGTTGCTGCTACCAACATTTTCATGTTGGGTAAATGCCCTTTAAACTTACTGTTTCAAAAACCACCCAGGCCCTGAGTAGAAGTTGTGTGCGTGAGAGAATACTGCTGTGCTGGCTGGCTCTTGCGTGTTTGGACACTTACCAGCATCTGGATCGGTCAGGGGAAGTTGCCAAGTGTTGGGCTGGAATGTTGATTTTGTTCTCAAAATCTGCCTCTGGGCTTATTTGTGCAAGAAAGTAGTTGTGATAACTTACTGCTTTGCTCTCTTTGACAAAATCATTGTACAGTTAAATACCACTCAGACCCCGTGATAAGCACAGGGACGAGGCTCTTCGTGGTTAGCCACAAGCCAGTGTAGGAGTAATATGCTTTTTTGTTTAGCCTATCTACACCCTTTACAGTTCAGCACGTGTAGCAGGGCGAGCTTAATGTCCCCAAAAGGCTGGCCGGTTAAGACCTTTTTGAGGGTGAATTTGACAAAAAGGAAAGCGTCACGGCGTGGGTGTAAGGCTGCTGGATCTGCTGCCAGTGTCCTGTCAAATGCCGGAGGTGAAGCCCCGCAGCTGCTGTGTTTCTGATCAATAGATGGGCATGGTAGGTAACCTGGCACTTCCTGGCTCAGTACTCGATGCTGTGTATAGTTTTCATCGTTCATCCAGTACAGTTTTCAGTGCATTTTCTGTGTCATGGGGTCTTTCCGAGTTAAAATTGGTGATTTTTAATCCATGTGCGGTGCTTAGCGGTAAAATATTTGAGTTTCTGTGTCAGTGCTTTGTCCTTTCTCCACGGGCCAAATCCATATTGCAGGCGAGCTGTGTGACTTCAGGTTTTCATCAGGGCGGTGAGGTGGTGTGTTGTTTTAATTTTGTTAAGGGGCTCTTTTCTCAGTTCCCTTTAGAAGCGGTAAACCGAATCTCAGTAAAGGAACCGTTCATGAGGAGCAAGGCCCCAAGGCAGGGAATTAATGCAGAACAACCATTGCACTGTAAACACTCGTCACAGATTATTCTCCACTGACAAGTGCACTTGGCGCACGTAGTCTTCAGAGCTCTCTGCAGATTCAGCTGATGGAACACAACTGCTTGTAAAAGCAAGCCGGAATTTTTGATTACTGTGATATTTTCATTGTTTATCCTATGAAATTTGAGGTGGTTTTCTGTATTTAGTAGCACTCGGCAGAGGAATTTAAAAATCTGTGTTCTTGGTTGTGACTTTGCAGAAGCCTGTGAGTTTTCCTGGTAAATTTAGGCTTGTCCATAATGCTATTCTTCTTTATTTTCTGTTTTCCCATGATAGTAGCAAGGTGATTTTTCTTAAATGCCCTCTTCCAAGTAAGTTTTCGAGCCTTAGTTGTCATTCAGCAAATGAACTGTACTCCTCTTGCTGTTCTTACGGGGTTTATTATTTTTTCAATAGGAGTTTTTTGGGCTTTCTCTAGGATTTTCTCATCTCTCTAACAGAAAAACCATATATTATCAGCAAGTTTTAAATTGCCATTGTTGCCATGTAGCTCTTCTGTCAGTAAGTCACAGAATTCTTATCAACACTGTAGAGCTAGTGAGAAATTTGCCGCTTGTAATGAGAGAGTGGTGAGATGTGGATTCCAGGCTCCTGGTCTGTGTTGAGATATGTTGAAATCACAGACAGGACATGTTGGTTGACATCCTACCTAGTCATGAAATGTAATCCTACCTGCTGTTGCAAGAGGAGGAAAAGGCTGTTCAGTTTCTCAACGAGGTTGTTAGCTTATTGCCAACGTGAAATTTCAACCAAGTTAAGATTACATCGAATTGATTTGTGCCTGTCTGTAAAGGGTCAGCACATGCCAAGTATGACTCTACTTCTTAATTGTCCCCAGGACAACTGTGTTTTGTCAAGCGTTACCTCAGATTCCTGGAAACTAGTTTTTAGTAGAGTTCTCAAGTGAAAGCCAAATTCAGACGTGCGGTCTGTGAGTCTGCGACGGTAATTTTTGTGTAATGAGGAGACACTTCAAAGGTCTCCTTTACTTGGGGGATTGAATTATTTCACAATAAGTGCTGGATGTTGACTGTATTTTATCCTTCTGAGGATCTGTTTCATAACTGGCATGTTCCCTATTTCATGACACAATGGGACTCTCAATTGCCAGATGTTAGAGGACATGGAATTACTTTTGGGTCAGTTTTGAACAATCTAGGCAGCTTTTAATGAGATGTACATGAAAGTGGTGAAAAGACTTTATTTTGGACAACTGAAACTTGCGTGTTTAGAGTTGAGTTCTGTTGCTGAAACCTTTGAGCTCCGTTTAAAGTAACCCCGTTCTGGGGTTTGGTGGCACTGGAATTAGAACTGGAGTATTTTTAATTGACATCCAGAATTTGGCTACGGAATGTATATATAAACATTGCATTTAGAACAGATTGTGTGTATGGAAAACACTGGTTTGGTTCTGTAGTGGTGTCCCTGGAGATTTGGGTGAAAATATGAAGCAATGTATTCAAGTTGCGCACGTTCAGCTTATGGTGACAACCAAAACGGGCTGCAGGCAGATGCGAACGCGGTAGCACTGTTATCTGGCTGTAGCATTACTGGCTTTTTCCCAGTAGTTTAATGGTTCATGGAATCGTTATTTTAATTTTCACATTTCCTTTTTTGTTTTTTAGGTATTACTTGTGGTCGGACACGCATCCCTGTTTTAGGAAAACTTGGGACTTTTGAAACTTGTTCTCTAAGACGGATTCCTCTTAGAAACTTTTCGGAAACACCAGCGTATTTTGCATCAAAGGATGGTGCGAGCAAGGATGGTTCTGGAGATGGAAGCAAGGTAATCTCCATGCATTAGGTTTTCCAATAGCTTATATATAAAATGTTTCTTAAATGTTTTTAGTAGATTTTTGTTCTTAATTAGAATATTCTTGAAATTTTTGCTAACTCTTGACAGTTCTGATCCTCCCAATTGCTATAACTGGCAGTGAAGAACAAATAAATTGTGCTGTGAACTTGTTAGCAGCAAACCCTTATAAACATCCCATAATGATTTTCCCAGTTATTTATAAATCATTTTGCCTTGTGTAAAGGGACACTTGAAAACTTTGTAGAATATTATAAGTCCACAACAGGTTTCAGGTTCTCATAAAAGAGTAGTAATTGGAACTGTTCTTCAAAAACCTGCTACTACCAAGTGGGCTTTTTAAAGTAAGTACATTTTAAAATGTTTACTTTTCAGCACTGATTTGGTAGCTGTGTTAAGTGAGGCAAGTTTGTGAGGAGACCAACTTTATTCTTGTTAGTAAACTATAATCTATTTTCATCCTAGTCTTTCTCTATAATTATAGTTAATAAACAGCTTCTTCAGATAAATGATTACCTGTGGATAAAACTGCTCTTTAGTCAGCAAGATTTTGAGAGTTCACAGGCAGTAACTTTACCTTAGCATGGCATGTTGTAACATCTGAGGAACTGTCCAGATGACACACTTGTGTTCTGAAGGTTTGGATTAAACTTTTTTATTAAATAGAGAAGATAAAAAACGTGAGCAGAAATGAGTAGGCAAGCAAAGTTTTAAAAAAATGGGGAACTCCCTTAGAAAAGGGAAGCGATCTTTGCTGTTTCCTAAAATAGAATAGTTTTTAATATTAATCCAAGTACGAAGGCATATATAACGGATATAGTTTAAAAAAAATGTTAACCTTGAACACCACTAAACAGGATAACAGAGAGAAAGACAAGTAGGTTTGTGTCAGGGAACGCTGTCTTAGTAGTGAAAAATAAAATATTGCCAAGCAATTTCTGAGATGCTTGTTTTATAGGCCATATCTGCCCTACAGCCATCTGCCAGCATAGCTACATCTGTCAAGAACGGGAGAGGAGCTGTGGCTTCAGAAACCCTTAGAATCAACACAGTTGCCATAATGAAATTACTCTCTCTATAAGTATGATTTGTTTTCTTCTCTGGGGTTAGAATAAATTACCTTGAAGTACACTATTAAAACATTCTTGAGCCAGTTCAGCTTGTTATTGTTCAAGTGCCAGTCAGGCAGTTCTAATCTAGACATGGGATGCCTTTTCCCTGGGCACCAAAATTGGCAAAACTGGGAAATGCAGATATGTGTAGCTTCAGAATGTTTAGATCATGTTGTTTGAAGTTTTCAAAGCTTTTAAAAAACCCTGACAATCGTTATTCAGCTACTGCAGTATTCCCATTACTGGATTCCATAAACGTGCTGCTAAATTCCTAACAGCTCCATTGTTTGGGGCTAATTGTCTGGAAATCTTTTGTAGAAGTCTGTCGGTGAGGGGAGTGGTAAGAAGTCAAGCTCTGGAAGCTCTGGGAAAGGAGGGAACCAGCTGCGCTGCCCGAAGTGTGGCGACTTGTGCACACACGTGGAGACATTTGTGTGTAAGTCTGCATTAAACCTTTCTTTTTAAAATAGACACAGATGTGACTATTTGTGATCTGACGTTGCCTGAGTGCTGAGTTTTAGCCTACCTAATTATATGGTGTCAAAAACTTTGTTACACGTAGCTTGTCTACGTTGGTGTCAGCAGGTATTGTCTGTGGGTGCGTTTGTGTCATTTCCTGTGATGTGTGCATGGAGCAGAATGTGGCAGTGGGATTCCGACCTCAACTGCGAATACACCGTTGTAAAATACTTCATGACATTTTGTGAAAAGAGATGCTCTCGTAAATGATACTGTTTAATAACTACTGTTAAATTTATATATTGGACAGGAAGAATATATATAGACAGTTGTAATGTCTGTGATGTGCTTACTAACTCGTAAAACTTTAATCCTGCATGTACTGAAACCAAAGTGCTTATCCAGCAGAGGAATTAGTATATGACAGATGGCTTACAGAATAGTTTTCTATGGCAAAGTCAGATCCATAATACGTTCCAAATAGGAGGCTGGAAAATCCGAAATGCATCAGGTGTCTGGTATCCAGCAGCAATAGTTACTTTTTTTTGAAGTACAGTCCAAATTAATGCCAGTTATGCTTTGGGTTCTATCAGACTTGAAGACATTCCTCCTTATTTCAGTGTTAATAGACTAGCCTAGAAAGTGGTTGTCAGAAAGCAAATACCCATCGTTAGTTGGTGGGGGGTATCGAGTCATAATCAGGCCTGCTCACTAAGAAGCTTATGACAAAGTCAGCATGAACTTGTTCAGCGGTTGTTAATACCACAGTTGATGAAAATACTGAGCGGATGTGCTGCTATTTGCTACTACTCATATGAAATACTATTTCGTAAAAGTGATCAAACGCCGTGAATCGCCAGACAATTCCATAACAACAGTATATTTATTCATGTTAGATAAAAGGATCAGTCCTCAGCTACTATTCTTTTGCCAGAAATAATAAGCATGTTTTTATTTGCAACTATAGGCAACAAGGCTGTCTGAAATATCTGGCACTGGTTGGTGGAACTAGAAAGATAATTCGGTTCAATATGTTGGCCTCTCCCTGGACTAGGTGTGGTTGAAAACAGTGGAAGGATTATTAACCTCATTTACCTTATCTGATGATTTGTGGCTAGACAGAGAGTTCAAAACTCTGGCTTCACTGGTTTGCTCCCTTCGTTACTGTAGTTTCTGCTTTTATCAGAAATACCAGTCAGGCATTGCACCAGAGCAGAACAGTCACGTGTCTCCCTGGCAGGCAGAAGTATGATTTAGGATGTTGTCAGTGTCGCTAGGCATCTTTAAGCATGCTTGAAAACTTTGGTAGGAGGAGGATGTGTTCATACTAAGCTCTGGGAGAAACCGTCTGGGATATGCAATCTCAATTCACCCGGAGTGATACCGCACTTGAATTGCAGCGCCAGCATGGCACAGGTACCCTGAACAGCTCGGGACTGCAAGCCCGCTTTGAACTGTAAAAGCACTGTTGCAGCTGGTCAGGTTTGTCAGAAGCTTGGAGGTCAAAATACGAGGAAGTCTGCTTATAAATAATTGAATGTGTCCATTTTTCTCATCCTGGCATGTTCTGCTCTGAGGCTTTAGGGTTGTGCAGCCTTTAAATGAAGTAATAGTTCAAACTAAGCACAGTGTCACTGGATAACAGAGTAGAGTAGATTTTTGTTCATCTAGTGAACACCAGTTGTCACTTCTCTATTAATTGGTAACTTAAAAAAAATTAAACCAGAGATTGTAATTTCTCTGATTTCTCAAATTTCTGAGTCATAGTGAAGTTTTCCCTGGACCTGTCTCTTCCTGGTTTAGTTAATTTGAGCACGATCCTTCCCAGCCAAACTGTAGAATATAAAGTGGCTGGAAAACGGAAGAGCTAAGTTCTAATTACCATTTTAGAAAGCAAAAACTAATAATACAAAAACCCCGTCCTTGTCTGCCCAAAATGAATGGGTTGCAGGATGTATTAAACATACTGTAACTTGATTTTCCAGATAAAGCTTTCATGTTGCTAAGTCAGGAAAATGATGAATTCACTCAATTCCTGTTTGAATTATCAAACTGCAGAGCCTTAAGTAAATATCTGAAGTCAAAGGAAAATATGCAATTAGCATTTGTTTCAGGTTTTACGTACTAGGGCTTTTCAGTCATTTTGGGAGAAGTAGCGAAACGTAATACTGCATAAAGCCCACGTTTATTAGTGAATTAATTGCCCCTGCCTGGCAGCCTGGTTGTCCACTGGAGTTTGTTTTTAATGGGATTTCAGTTTGTAACCGCAAATCTTACGCAAGGATTTGCTTGGCAATGGATTTCCAGTAATTAAGGAAGAATATGACGCAGACCAAAAGGAATTTTGCTTTGACACACTTTCTCAGCCGTTCCTGTACTGGTTTGGGTTGAGAGACTCTGTCAGGAGAGTTTTGTGATCAGTGAAATGGGATGTGAGCCTCAGCTAGGGAGTCAAATCCAATGGCTGTAAAACGGACGGACGGATGGAGCCTTATCCTAGGTGCTGCTTGTACTGTCTCACCTGGTGCTCTGGGCTTAGCGCCCATCCTTCAAAGCAAGCCTTCCCTGCCACTGTACCTGCTTAGTAGGCAAGAAGCTTCCTGCTCTCTTTCCCCGGTGTCTTTTAGCAGTTTAATAGTAGCCCATTATCTCAACCCTACAAGTGGCTTTTAGATTAATCCTCCGATTGTTTGGGCTTCCCATACCTATTGTAAAAACCCGGCCTTTCTTTTTGGCAGGGTCAGCTCAGAGGGGCTTTAGAAATCTCTTTGCAAACGCAGCCTCTGGTAATGTTGTCTAAATCGGAACCAACACTTGACTTGCTTTTTTACCACACTGCAAGTATTTTCAGACATCTTAGTGAAGTAATTTGACAAGAAGGCTCTTTGCTGAGCTTTTATGTGTTTGGTGAAAGAACATACGGAAATGTGCTGGTATTTAAGAATTGCCATTTTGAATGCTCAGTTTTAGGGAGATAGCAGTAATTAAACTCTTTCCTTGCATTTCAGAGCAAACTTCTCAATGTTTTTGTTCTGTTAAAACTCATATTGATACTTTTTTCCGAATTGCTGTGTAGATGATAGAAACTGCCAGGTTTCAGAGCTGTGTTTTGATAACCGAGTCTCCTCCCCAGGGCACCTTATACATCAAAGTTTCCCTGTAGCCACGGCCCCTGTGGGTCTTACTGAAAATTAGGAAGATCTCTAATAACCTTCCTCTGTGCAGCTTGGAGCAATTGATAAAAGCCTACTCTGGACAATAATTTTTTTTCAGCAAATGATGTTTTGAAGATACACAATAATATTCTTATAGCCTGCTCTTTATTTTCTATCTTTTTAACCATTCCTGTGGATCTATAAAGGGGGCAAGTATTCTCGTGGCTATTCCATCCTGGTAAAGCTGACTGTTAGCGTTGCATAAGGAAGGACAACAGCCTCATGGCGCTGTAGTCACTCAGAATATCAAAAGGTGTTTTGAGTGGGCACTGGGAGAAAGCTTGGGGTTTTTTTCCCCTGTGTTATTGTTGCTAAGTAATAGTTACGTGAGAGAGGTGGGTGCACACAAGTGGTTCTCCATTGCGTTCCCATTAGGCAGATAATTTGGACTGTTGCCAGGAGAACTTTCCAGCTGTTACACAAACTTTCTTTGGAGTAGAGTTGTTAAAACTGTGATGGTCACAGTATTTGTGCTCCATTATTGAAATAATCTCCCGGTTTTACCTGTACAGTCACAAGGTGTGCTTAATATTGAGAAAAGAACTTGCACTCCTCCCTTGCTGATGCCAGCTCTAGGGGAGGCAGCAAGAAGTTATAAATAAGCAGCTTGTTTATTGCTAGAGGTGGTTATTAAAATTGGCTGGTACTACAGTGTTCAAGCCATTCTCTAAACAGCTTTGATTTTAGGAGTTTTGACATTGAAGTTTTTCATGTGGTGGTTTGCCACATTTACTTTGCTTTTAATTTAATACATTTACTAATATATTAACTTCAAATCAGTCCTGTTGTGTGTCATTCGCATTTAATCGCATAGCAGTATGGTCAGAAAAGATCTGTTTTGAATGACACATTTATTCTTCTCTACTATCTATTTTTGATTGTTTCACCTTTGCTTTTTCAAAGGGGAAAACCAAACAGTGCAAGTTCTGTTTTGCAGGCTTTTGAAACCAGGCTTTGCAGATAACATGATTACTTGAGACATGGTTCACAAAGTCAGCTGTAGGAGGCCTTGGCTTTTGGAATTTGTAAGAAATTTGTTCTACCCTTGACAGTAAAAATAAATAAGCAGAAGATCTTGCAAAACATCAAAGTCCTGATCTGTCGCATACCACAGCTGCCTCTTGTTGGGATGAGCCCTTTGTGTGACCCCGCTTTGCTCTGTGTCCTGGGCTTAGATGACTCCACAGTGTCCCACAGCCAGTGGGATGCAGAGGCCGGGAGCTGCGACAGTTGTCCTTTCCTGAACCTGCTGCACACTGTCTTTGATACTGTAGATTGCCTCCCTGCGCTTTAGAGTAGTCTGCCCCTATCCACAATTCCTGGTTTTTGCCTTCTGGTGTGAGTTAGGAACAATCCCTGCTTAGTTTGAAGCTCTCATTAATATTGCATCGCTCTGGGGTGCAAAGTTTCTTCCTCCAAGCGTAATGCTACTGAATAATGGTGAATGGATTTTTTGCTTTAATCCCTTGTTTGCTTGCTGCCCTGCTTTGTGACTTTTTTGGGCAGATTGTATTCCCTGATGTCAAAATCTACAGTCCAATAATTGCTTTTAAAACTTGTGAGGGGAACAAAGGGGAAGCGTTGTGTCAACGCGGGGGTGTTTGTGGTGTCTTCCAGGTGCTTGTCCTGTGTATGACAGACTCGGGCAGTTGGATGAATGCTGTTTAAGCAATGCCTCTTACCGTTCTGTTTTACTTTTTCTGTAGCTTCCACCCGTTTCGTGAAGTGTGAAAAGTGTCACCATTTTTTTGTTGTACTGTCAGAGGCAGACACAAAAAAGAGCATCATTAAAGAGCCCGAGTCAGCAGCAGAAGCTGTGAAATTGGCATTCCAGCAGAAGCCGCCGCCTCCACCGAAAAAGGTAGGGCTCTTAATTTCACTCCAATACTTCCTTGTGTTCCAGCATGGTGAAATGCTTTGCTTCTTAATCTGCGTCAGGTGTGTAATGCTCTACTGTGACAGGGTAACAAAGACGATTAGCTCAAGATTAAACCCTTAAGAGCGACGTGACCCATCAGAACACTGACAAAGGGAATGAGTGGATCAAATAGTTGGTCTTGTTTTCCTCTGCCTTTGTCTTAGGACTGAAGTCCAGTGCCTTCCTTTTCTCCACGTGTCCCTGAGGCTAGCAACCCTCGGCACGTGTAGTACCTTTTGTTTCCTGCTACAGCCTCATGTTCTGCACCCTTACGCTGGGGGTTTCCTTCTGTAGCTGCAGAACCTTTCATTTGGCCTGTCTCTGGGTGAGCTGGCTGATTAGCTTTGTGGCCGTGAGCCATCTTAAGTCATTTGGTCTCCCTCTCCTGAGTAGTGAGGATTGTGTTTCTCAGTTCCTAGTGGAGTGTTTCTGGAGCTGAACGTGGTCTGGATAGGCCGCTTTAAAGAAATTAAGTATCCTTGAAATTCCTGTTCCTCTTACGCATTTGGGTGAGAACGACAGCGGGTTTAAATACTGGTAGGGGAGAACTGACAGAGACAATATGATTGGGCAAGTGCCATGTTTTTAAGTAAACTTGTCAACAGGAATATATTTTTGTATTTTGGATGTTGGGTTTCTGTTTCTCAGTTCTGTGATGGTTGGTTTACTCCAAAGTCCCATCTTTGGCACAATATCCTCTTTTATCTCTTGCTGCCAGGTGGTTTAGAAGAGTTACTAAAATTGAGTTATTTTTCAGATTTATAACTACCTCGACAAATACGTTGTTGGTCAGTGTTTTGCCAAGAAGGTGCTTTCGGTTGCTGTGTACAATCATTACAAGAGGATCTACAATAATATCCCAGCTAACCTGAGGCAGCAAGCAGAAGTTGAAAAACAGACTTCCTTAACACCGAGAGGTTTGGTGGTTTTCTGATCAAATATAACTTAGCGTTTCAGGGCTCTGACTTAAGAAACCTGAGAAAGCAATTCTTTTAGCTCATTCCAATGACAGAACACCTAGTCTTGAGGTAAAACCTAGTAAATTTAATTTCCACTGTATATAAACCTGTGTGATTTAGTTAAAAGTAAACCAGAAGGTTTATGTTGCCGTGGGTGTCACCTATGATATTACACAGTTAGTGTGCTTTATTGATGCATCTTATCAGGTATTTTCCTTTAACTTTAGACAGTGAGCCTTCTAAACTTTTCTAATCTCATTTACTGCTTAATGGTGCATCTGCTTAATCTGCAAACAATGCAGATCTTGCAGACAGTGTTTTGCATAGGGAATTTGATGAACAGTTGGCTTTCCAGCCTTACTCGCTGCTGTTGTCGGCATCTGCTGGTCGCCATAGTATTGTTCCGTATGTAGTAGGTGTAGATGGAGTTACTCTTGGCAGTACTTTTGTGACTGAGTAAGTGTGTAGCTATGTTGATCTAATTTATTTTTAGAAGTAGGATTAAGTTACTGTCTCCGATTCAAAGTGTACCTTGATATTTTTTTTTTCTTAAGGTGTTTTGTTCTGTCTTGCAATAAATAGTATGCTAAGCAAACAGAATCTTCCTTTTTTATTTTTGATTTTATGTAAAGAAGTATTTTAACGGAGGGGGAAACATTTAGTAGCACGTTACTAGTAATGGTAGGGGAGCAGCTGTGTACCTGGCACAGAGAAGTTCTGACCCTCCACAGGAAGATAGATGTGTGCACGCCCAGAGGGACTGGCAGTGAATATTTATTATGGATAGTACTTTGAAATGTCTGAAATCTTACATTGTAACAGTCGAGCATCAACCTGAGACTTCAAGGAAGCCTTTTCAAGACAAAGTTGTAGCATTTTTTCCCCCCCTTTATATACATGGTTTTTAAAATAAATATCTAATTGGAGGTAATAGACTGTTACTGGGTTAAGTAGTAGAACGCTTGCTGTCATTTTAAAAGCATGCAAGTTAGGTTTTAGGCAATAAAGACTAATTCACGTGGGGGTTTCTTGTTAGAAATGTCTTTGTACAGAGTAATGAGAGATATTCAGAAGAGGGCAAGAGGTGGAGAATTTACAAGCTTTTATAAACTTATTTTTTATTACTGTTTTCATCCTCTCTCTTAGAATTAGAAATCAGAAGACGGGAGGATGAGTACAGATTTACAAGTAAGTGAACTCTCTCCTCGTGTCCTCCTCTGTAATATGTACTCTTGCAATGTTAATGTAGAATAGTCTTTAGTGACCACTAGTTTCAAATGCTGGGTAAGATCCTGTTTGCTTTCCTTCTGTAAGTAAATTTAACTGATGGTATTGAGCATGCTTTTAGAGATGACTAGGATCGCATCCTTTATCTAGTTCTAGGTGGAAAGTAAGTAAAATGTAGATATACTTTGTATGAAGCTGTTTAATTATCTGTCCTTAGAGTTGTTCACACTAGAAGTGGAAATTGAGTTAATTTAGTACTGAGAGCTGCTTACATTAATAATGCCACACAAGATACAGTGAGAGGTGGACAACAAGGGAAGTTAGGCAAGTGTTTTCTGCAGTGTATTTGTACTCTTAAAAGGCACAGTGTCATGGTTTAACCCCAGCCAGCAACTAAGTTAATGCAGCAGCTCCTGAGCCAGCCCACGCTGTCGCCTTGAACCTCAGGATGCCTCATTTTTTCCTTGATCGAAGTGAGGTCAGTCATGTTTGTTTTCAGTTCACTGTAACTCTCACTGGCTATTGAACTTCTTCCACAGTCTAGTCTAGATCAATTTGTAATCCCAGATACAGATCTTCAAACCAGTTTTCTTAATCTTTATGTTCTACTCTGTAAACAGTTAAAACTCGTGCTCTGAGACAAAGCCTGTAACAACTAATCTGAGAAGTTTTTAAAGTCTTGAGAGTAGATCTGCTGGTTTTGTAATTGTTATAGTACACCAGTTCTTGTTCCTTTTCATCTCAGAGTTCAAAAGTTTGGGTTTATTTCTTCCCATGTGTTAAAAATAAAAAAAGACAGTTAAAGTGAGTCAATTTGTAAGGACTGAAAATTTATTGGTTTTAATATAGAGTAATATTTTTAGGTAATCCACTGTACCACTGGAAATTCTTTACTTATAGGCAGATGTGCTTGTGCAAAATACAATTGGTATGCATTTTTTAAAATAATATTGCTGTATTTCTGTTGCAGTCCTATCTGTAAACTCTTGTACAGGTAGAAACGCAGGTTTGCAGAACAAAACGGAGGAATCAAGGTTTTATTCTGTATTTAATTAGTGGCAGACCTTGTCGGTGCTCAGACAGTACTGTTCTTGTTCTCTTCAGAACTACTGCAGATTGCTGGAATCAGTCCACACGGTAATGCTTTAGGAGCATCAATGCAGCAACAAATGAACCAGCAGATACCTCAGGAAAAACGGGGAGGAGAAGTACTAGATTCAGCCAATGATGACATAAAACTTGAAAAAAGTAATATTTTGCTGCTTGGACCAACTGGATCAGGTATGCAGCTGCATGTTTTTATAGGTGTCAGTTTTCTTATATCGATTGTTAATGAGACATTTTCCTCTTTTGTAATTATTCCAACTTGGTGTGTATAAAAAGCTAAAGTGTGAATTCCAAACTGGGATTTTGCTTTCCTGCCATGGTAACAAGCTGACCTAAATGGCCTTGAAAAGGAAGGAGGTCTGGTCATGTGGTTTGCTGGTTTTTTTAATGCCTATATTGTTTACTAACTGATTAAAAGGTGCAAGTTCCACTGGGCTGAAATAAGACACACTTAAAGTTTCTCTGCTTTAGCTGGCAAGGTGAGATGCTGAGGTTACTGGTGTTTCACCTCTGGGATGGATCAGTTATGGGAGGGTTACAAGATAAATTGTGTGTTTATAAGAAGTGGGAGTGTTTGTGTTGAACTGATAAGCATTTTGCAGGCTGTTTGGGAGAACACTCACCAAATATCTTGATCTTCTTTCTCCTCAACTTCAAAGCAGGAGCAATTGCACTTTGCACTGCACCCTAAGTGTCTGCAAAAGAACTTCTGATTTATTTAATCCTTAATCTATGCAAGTACATGTCACAGAATATAAAAACCAAAATACATTTTTATTTGTGACACTGTGTGCATTTCAAGCTGCCTCGAACATCTCATATTAGTCTAGTTCATAAATACAGCTTGCCAGTGTAAAAAAACTGTTGATGAAACTGTCTTCCTTGGAAAATATATGTATATATGAACATGCTGGCATCATTCTAAATGTCTAATGACTGTAACGATGATCCTATGGTAAATACTTAATTTTGTGTGCTCTAAGGAAATGCATGGAAGTTATAACATGCAGTTTTTATTTCATAAGGTAAAACCTTGCTGGCTCAGACTCTAGCTAAATGCCTAGATGTACCTTTTGCTATCTGTGACTGCACGACCTTGACTCAAGCTGGCTATGTTGGTGAAGACATCGAATCTGTCATTGCGAAACTCCTGCAAGATGCCAACTACAACGTGGAAAAAGCTCAGCAAGGTAAATGTTTACAGCACATTTCCTGAAGTTCATTCACAGACTGGGTTAATCTTGCCTAAGTGTTCTAAACTTTGAGACCACTGGTATTTCTGTGATGTATGTGCCTGTTGCACGTACCTGAATTTTAACATTTTAAATCGGAAGTAATAAACCTGAGGAGAGCTCTAAGCCTATCTTGTAGTCTTTGTTCTTGTCCATAGCTGGACAAGATTGCATGTATGTGGGAGTAGAACAGACTGCTGCTGTCTTAAATTCTTTTCCTGTATGTAAGTTCTTGCTTCTCTTAAAAAGTGGAGTCTTCCTTAAATCCGCTTTCTGTAACGACAGGAATTGTTTTTCTGGATGAAGTAGATAAGATTGGCAGTGTTCCCGGTATTCATCAGTTACGGGATGTTGGAGGAGAAGGTGTTCAACAAGTAAGTACTTCCATGGAGAGATTTTTACTTTGTAAGCAACCAGCCCACTGAACCTACGTTTCATCCTATTGTATGTCAAATAGCACGGCAGTGTGTGGAGTCATAGTTCTTCAGTTCCTGAATTATTAACCTTTGAAACCCTCATCTTTCCTCTTTATTCTAAAAAAAAAAAAAAATCAATCTCAAAAGCAACTCAGGGCCGCTTATAGAAACATTTTAATTGAAAAATGTCTTTGCAGCATTCAGACAGCAAGTTGCGTAATGTAGGCAAGAACAGATAACACTTCCCACTTTGACAAAACTCTTAACGAGTTGCTCTCATAATGCTCTTGGGAGTCACGTTGGTCTGTCCTTGAATTGGATTGTTCCTCTCGTATGGAAAACTGATTTATTGAGACACTTACTGTGCAGGCATAAGGGATTAAAAATTGTAAATACATCTGTGAAAGTAAGCAGAGTGTGGTGTGCCTTATATGATGCTACACAGTAAAGCCTGATATTGCTTATTTCTTCTTTCCTTCCTAGGGCTTGTTAAAATTGCTAGAAGGCACAATAGTAAATGTTCCAGAAAAGAATTCTCGTAAACTACGTGGAGAAACGGTGCAGGTTGACACAACAAACATCCTCTTTGTAGCTTCTGGTGCTTTTAATGGTCTTGACAGAATTATCAGCAGGAGGAAAAATGAAAAAGTGAGTCTATCGGGCTATGTATGAACTGAAAAATGATCTTAGTTACTGGTCACAGAAGTGACTCCTGAAGGTCTTGCTATGCTTGTCAAGTCACTGAGTTTGTTTGTAGAGCAGTGGTTTTCCATCCGTTACCTGGGAACCTGAGGTCAAGCCTAAGAGGCTTGCTCTTTGCTGCCTTTATTGATAGTAGGCTGAAGTAGACTGCAGTGGTCTCTGCTTCCCTGGAAAAAAATAGGTAGAGGGGAAAGGTTGAAAGCTGTTGGGAGAGGACTTGCTATCCATACTTGAGTGGTAAACTTTTTACATGACTGTCATGTACTGTTTCTTAAAGAGAATAGGTGAAACAGTTCTAGCAGTTACAGTAGGATGTCTTTCAGTTGCACTGTACCACGTATGAAACTGAAAAAACCCTTTTTCTATCAATACCCAAAGCTTTGCTGTTGATGCTCAGATAATTTGAGCAAATGGTGCTAAAAGCTGTCGTCATCTTAAAATACCTGGTTATGTAGTTTACTATTTTGTGTATTGGTGTCTGGGGATGGAGTTTCTAACAGGGGAGTGACCGAAATCCAAATTACTGTTTATGATATTTCACGTTGCTTTTCATGGAAGCACTCTTGTGTGCATTTGCTTTGCCTCCAAAGAGCCCTTTTCAGTCTCACTGGTATCTGGAAACTTAGCAGGACATAAACTAAAAACCAAAAAGATTAGTAATAAGAAAAACTTACTGTTATTCAGTCTGATGTGTCGGTACCTTGCTGCGGGGAATTAAATGTTACAAGAAATTGATGGTCTGCAAGGCGTCCAGTTTTATGAGAAGTAATTTGTTGAGCTTGAATTAATATGTAATGACATAATCGGTCATGGCAGACTTCTTTATGTAGGTGGAAAATGATTTAGTTAATAAGAAAACGTAACAATTAGAGTTCTGTAAGCATACGTGTGTTCTGCAGTATCTAGGATTTGGGACACCGTCTAACATGGGAAAAGGCAGAAGAGCTGCGGCAGCAGCTGATCTTGCGAATATCAGCGGAGAGTCGGATCCACATGAAGATATTGAAGAAAAGGATCGCTTGCTGCGTCACGTGGAAGCCAGAGATCTCATTGAGTTCGGCATGATTCCCGAATTTGTGGGACGTTTGCCCGTTGTGGTTCCTCTGCACAGCCTAGATGAGAAAACCCTTGTGCGGATTCTTACGGAGCCACGAAATGCTGTGGTGCCTCAGTACCAGGCGCTGTTCAGCATGGACAAGGTTTGACTTTTTATTTGACAGCTCTTCAGTAGTATTGTTTATAAATGCAGCGTTAAAGCAGTCTAAAATATCAGTTGAAATCACTTCTTCCCCCAACGCGTGCATCTCCCCGCTCTGAAAAATAGCAAGCTAGCTCTTTAAAACCTGACAAGTATAGATTGATAATTGTCCTTGTGGAGCAAGTCATCTGCAAGTAGTTGAGCTGCTCTTTATGTTAACGTTCAAACGAGCCATGACCTTGCCTAAGAGACCTCAAGAGCCACTTCATGTGCTATGGAGGTACTTGTAGTAAGTAAAGAGATACAGCCAATACTGGTAACTTCATTCATATATCAAATGGAGCTGAAGCTTTATACAAGTAGCTTAAATGTGCTAAATGTTGTGGTCTGTAACAAGTAAATAGCTACTGTTTGTTATTTTGCAATCCCAAATACAAG